GGCTGTATGAGGCTTAGAGCAACCTGGTCTAGTGGAAGGTGTCCCTGCCCATGGCAGGGAGGTTGGAACTAAATGATCTTTAAAGTCCCTTCTAACCTAAACCATTCTGTGAAGCTATGATAAAAGCTCTGTGCAAATCCCCTGCCAGTGTCCTGCTCATCTTATAATAAAAATGGAGTTACCTTTTCTTGTGGTACCCTGTTGGAAGAGTGACCCAGACTGGGTTGGGCTGCCCCAGTAAGACTGTGCTTTCCCACTGTTACAGGCCCTTCATGTTCTTCACGTTAGGCTGACAAGCCAAAGTGTCAAAGGCTAACTCTTAGAATAATGTAGGAGTCAAGGTGTCTTTCTGTGTTAAGTTGTTTAGACAACGTTCTGTTTATAGTCTGTTTTTCATAATGTTCTGTTTTGCACTATATTCTATTTTGATGATATTTTGTTAGGATAAGCTGTTTTGACTTTATTCTGTTTTTCACTATGTTAAGCTGTTTTGATGATACCCTGTTTTCCAGTGTGTTTCTCTGCACGCATTGCTGAGAAACATTTGATAACCAGGGATCGGCCCCCTTGCTTATCAAAAGCAGGAGGAAGGTACATGCTCATTAGTAGCTCAGCAGTGTCCTTGTAAGCTGAGATTTTTTTTGTAGATTAGTAGATGTTTAAAGAATTTTGTCCTTTTTGTGAACTTTGCTCATTAAAAGTTCATTATAATAGTAAAAATGACACCCATAGATCAAGAAGACCCTTGCCCTGAGCAAACATAATAGGGGAAGCAATATGTCAGCAATATTATAATAGTATAAGCAATCATTGTAAGGGGGGTGGACTGGAAAATTACTAATCCTGAAACTTTTGTGTATCAATATAGCACAAAGAACTCTGTTTGGTGTCTGTGCTAGGAAGAGATAACCCCATGCACCCGGTGCCACAATAAACCAATGTTGCCTTTCTAAGCTATCATTTGGTTTAGAGAATTTTCTTCATTACGTTTTGGTAACACCACCATGACTTCCTTTTGTGATTCCTAATCTCTCATTTTCTCTCTGAAATGCAGTTTGTCTCCTGTGCTGGGTTCAGTCAGGAAAGAGTTACCTCTTTACTGTGGCTGCTGTGAAGCTGCGTTCCTGGATTTACACTGAGAGCAGCACTGATAAAGTCTGAGCTGGCGCTGAGGAATGTCTGTACCAAATTCAAGGTCTTTCTCCACTTCTGATCCTGCAGCTGCATTCCCAGCTCTCACTGTCTCGCTACAGGCAGTGTAGGGGACACACAGTTCAGGCACCTGACCCAGACTGACCAAGGGAGTATTTCATCCCATGGTACATCAGGTTGGGGGCACAGGTGAGGAGGGTGTCCGGGAGCCATCACTTTCTGACTCTCTCTAGTTCACTCCCGCACACTTGCTAACCCTCTCCCTGACTCCAGCATTAGCTGCTTTGCTAACTCCTGTGCTGGCTCCTTCGGGAGGGAGTTGGTGGGTTTGTTTAGTTTTCCTGGTCATGCTATTTCTGGTAGGGTTTGCTTGGAATCTGCTGCAACAGCTCTCAGGCTGTGATCGCTCTCGGGCTGCTATTACCCGAGGGCTCCAGCCCAAGGGCTGCGGCTCTTGGGCTGCAATCACTCTCGAGCTGCAACTCTTGGTCTCTCTGGCTCTGCCTCTTACTACTCAGCATGTGGTTGTGCATTGGTCAGTGGGTGGTGAGCAACTGTATCATAATTGTATCATATGTTTTATTTCCTATTATTCTAATTACTTAGTAGTAGTTGTATATATTAATTTATATTCAATTAGTAAATAGTTCTTATTTCAATTTTATGAGCTTCCTTGTCTTTTCCCTCCAATTTTCCCCCTCCACTGGAGGAGAGGAGGGGGATTAGTGAGAGTGGCTTTGGGGTATTTTGCTCGCCGGAGTTAAACCACGACAACTCTGGATCCAGATCAACCCCAAAACAAAGGCGAGTTCCAAGGCATTTCACCAGATGGGGCACTTGCTGGTTTCCCCTTTGCCAACAACATCCTCCATCTTGTTGTCAATTTTGTTGCCTGAGCTCTAGAAGAGACTGTGAGGTACTAATCCATAGGGTCACAAAAGGGGCAACTACAGCTCACATAACTTCAGTACTTTTGTAGAATGTGGAGAGAACTAGACAGTGAATCCAGGAGGCCTAGTTCCCAGATTCCTATTGACCAAGTACAGTTAAGCTGTTGTCCTCTGGGTTGACACAAGGTTAGGATCTACAGCTTTCTGGTATCATGCATGTATTTTTTGGCTTTTATAATTTAAAAGACAGTTTAACAAGGAGTGTTACAGACCCCTCTGTCTTACAAGAGGAATACACCATTTTGCAAGAGGGACTTTGGAGCTGGAACTCCTGTGTTCTGTTTGGAGGCAAATGTCTGGTTGGTGTCCAAGTCTAGAGTTTCTCAGCAGATGAGGGAGTTTGAGACAGGGAGATTTTGGTGGTGGAAAAATGGAGGACATGCCCTGTTGTTATTGTCCTCTCCCTTGGCAGGTTCATGTTGCCTTTCTCTCTTTACAGGTATTGAATTGCTCTTGAGCTCAGATGTCAAACTGGCATTGGGAAGTGCTGTTCCCCAGCAGACTCCTACCTGGTTTCTTGGTGGAGGAAGGGGAAGCAGGGCTCAAGACGTTTCTCCACAGACTGTCCTATGGAGTTGAGGGGTCTGTTGCCTCGTTACAGTTACTGTAATCCTTTCTCTCAATAAAACCCTTGATAATACTGCAGTGTTTTCCCTGTTGGTGACAAATAAACAGGTTCTTTTGACACCCGTGTTACCTTTCAGACACATCGTGATTTACACACACCCGCCCTCCTCCACCCTTCCCCCCTCTTTCTACCCAGCAGGCTTTTTTTCTGTGCCCTACTTTCAGAGGAAAGCAGCAAACAAGTCATCATGGAAACTCAGTTGTAATCCACCCTTTTTATCTCCATTTCCGGCCCCTTTATCTTATGGAAAGTATATTGCCAATGTTCACCCAGGATTCAAAGCTGTGGAAATTTTGGGTTAGGTTGTGGTTAGTGGTCATGAATGGAAGGAAGCAGAATGTGTCCTCCAGCACATCCCCAGGTGTACCCATCTTCCCACAGGCTCTACTAAATCCCTCAAAGACATGTGTGGCACAGCTGGATGTCCCAGTAAGGCCTGGTAATGATGCAGCCACCTTACCAGAGTCAGATTTTCTTCAATCTGATGTACTGATAAACCCTAGGATCTTAAAAGGGGCTGCTGAGCTGTGTCAGTGCCTCAAACAGAGCTGCACTTGAGCTGTTCTGAGTCTCTGGAGACGGTTTCCCCTCAGCCTTAATCTCATTGAAAATCCTTTTCCCTGTAAGGCATTATGGAATGCCAAACGCAATGGTTGTGGCCATTGCCTCCTCAAGCCCAAGCTAGCTCCTGCATTGAGGTCAAATGCTTCTTTGACCTGATAGAAAGTTAGAGTCCTGTAGTGATCAGATTATGGGCACAGGATAAAATATTAACCCCAGCTAGTCCCTCCACACCTTTGGCTGCAGAATTTACCTGGGTTACCTTCAGGCATCCTTGTACTGGTGCTGCTGCATGCCTGTCTACTTTGTTCTGCAGCTGAAACACTGGGTAGGTTAAATGTGCATTCAGGCGATGTGACAAAGAAATGCTGGTTTGCCGGCACTCAGGACATAAAACACGGGGTCTGTTCATCAATTCAGGCGATGTGACAAAGAAATGCTGGTTTGCCGGCACTCAGGACATAAAACACGGGGTCTGTTCATCAATTCAGGCGATGTGACAAAGAAATGCTGGTTTGCCGGCACTCAGGACATAAAACACGGGGTCTGTTCATCATCTCAGCATTGGGTTATGGCTCCTGTGTGTCACCTTTTCCTCTTTAGCATCTCCAGCTGTGCTGCAGCCACTAAACACATAAAATGTGAAACCTGGGACTCTTAAGTCTCTTGCCTAACAGGCTTTGAAGAATGAGGTATGAGGGAGCAGGGTCTTCATGGTCTCCAAGGCTGCTGTCTGGGTCTGTTGTAGGAACAGAATTCATGGCAGCTCTGACACCACCCCACAGTCCCAGGCATTAAGCTGGGATTGTTTACAATGGTACCAGCTTTGTACTGTTGGGGAGCAGGCGAGTGTCTCGACAGAATGCAGGGACTGTGAAAGAGCCACCGAGCTCTTCTTTCCTACAAGAAGGGCTTTCTCTGAGCAAAGCCCATGGCAGACAGAGCCAGCATGTTCACAGTGTCTCCCTTTTGCCACTGCAGCTGCTGCTGTTTGCAAGCTGCAAGTGCCTCCTTGTGGGTCTGTGTGACTCTGCTTCAGCTTTGGTGAGAGTTCCAGGCTGGGACCCTCCTGTGGCTACTTACAAGAGCTGCACAGGATCCTGTAGGAAAGGAAAACCATGGATTTTCTTTAGGGTTTCTTTTTTTTACCCTGATTTTTACCAGTTTGCAGTGCCTCTAATTGCCATAAACTCAGCACTAGGATTCAGGTCCTATTAGAGCTTCTCCCACATCTGAATAAGCTTTTAGAATTCTGTAGATGTCTGCAAGCACTGCTCCATATAAAGACCATGCTTGGGTCTCTGTTCTCCATGTAGGAGAGGGCAAGAAGAGAGGCTGGTTTGTGTACATGGCCAAGTTTAATGAGAGATGAAAAATGTCCGACAGGCTGTTTTCTCCAACAAACCCCCTAGAAAAGGTCCAAATCCAAGTTCATCTCCTACCCATAGGTAGGTATTAGGGGGCAGGAGCTGGTGTAAGGGAGAGGTTGCTGCAGATGGACCATGGCAACATCTCCTTCCCTGCCAATGTGAGAGGACTCTCTGGCCTGCCCCATCTTCCTCCTTTCTCTTTTGGTCAGGAGAAGCGAAAGGATTTTTCTGCTTGTAATCAAATTAACTGCCTACATAACAGGGTGCAGAGGCCTGTCAGCAAATTCAGAAATCTTACACACTTCTAAGATCTCCCCCTGCCACACTGGCTGCCAT